CAAATCATCATCACAGTCGAAATCCAAATCTTCTAGGGTCTTTTCATCAGTCAAACGGCGTATGCCCCTCTTCTCTCTGCTCACAATTCCTCGCATGATCCAGTCCAGTCCATTCCAGTTGACCACAGTCAGGAGGATCATCGTTGATAGTAGGCGGCAATTTTGTCTTACTCCTGTCTCCACTTCAAAGGTGTCACTGAGCTTTCCACTGTGAATCACTTGGCATGTAGCATCATCGTTGTCATATAGCTGCTGAATGAGATTGATAATGGTTTGTGGCAGTAAAAGTGTAGTGTTGAAGCAAGCAGCTGCCAAATCACTTTTCTGTCGACGCCTCGATCGAAGGCCTCTGTTATGTGATGATGCGTAGGGTAGCGTTGTAATTTGAGCCGGCTAGATTTAGTAGTAACTAACGGTTTTGTCTAATATAAACATCTGTATCTTTACAAAGCGCAGATTTATTTCTTCATTTCACTCCTCAAAGGTGTTATTAAGCATTTCAGAACAAAGCCACATAGATGACAGCTAATCAATTCCAATTAGTTATATACCAAAATCAAACAAGAAAATGCATAACATGAATCATACATAAAACAAAAGAGGAAAGTTATTTTTTCTTAAAACACCTTCTTATTGAAACCACTAAAATCATCACACTGATTATACAGAAAGGCTGAGAAAAAATATATATAAGTTTTTCAAACAACTCAACAGTGAAGAAAAACTGAAAAAAGGAAGAAAACTAAGTGGTTGTCCTAGAAACATTATTTTTAATTGCTATAATATTTTTATGTCAATTTGTAGTTCATTGATAAAACCTGATGAATGAGTTGAATCACCATCAACAGTTGCGTTTTAAATCAGAAAACGTACAAGAACAAGTGAGTAACAACAAATGAACATCTCTAGAAAGCATGACATACAAATGGATAGGTAGAGAGTTAAGAACCTAAATATCTAGGTAGATGGATGAAGAGATCGACAGAAGTTGCGCAATATATACATATATATACATCCCATGATAACTTACGTTTGCATAGTGAAATTAGCCTGCAGTTTTTGTTCCTGTTTATAATGGGTGCATTCTTAAACGAAAGAAAGTACTTATTCCTGTCTATAGCAAGTTTTAACCCATTCAATTTCTCAATTTCATTACTTCTACAGTGATTTCTGCTATGCTTCTGAATAATAAAAATAAACTCAGACTATACACCAGCAAACAATTGAGTGCAGTAGCTTTATAAATATTAAAAAGTGAGAAAAGGAAATAATTTTTTTTTATAGGGAAGAAAATCTGCTATGACTGATAGCTGAGATTTTATACAACCTGATAATTTATTGGCTTCTTGTGTACTCTTTAAGAATTTACGAGTATTTTTAATGAAAAGAAAAGTTGAAAAGTGAAAAGTAACTGAAAATCTACAAGTTCCCCTTCTTTCTAGCTAAAAATAGAAATAAAGGTTATTCACGTTGTCTATTTAGATAAAGATTACAAACAGAATGATGAAATTGTCTAAAATGGATCTTTTATCTAGGACACAGTAGACTGACAGTTAAATAACAAAAACAACAATAGTCTTTGGTTTGTTGAATTAGTCCAGGCTCATTTTTATTCACCTAATTAGATGGATTTCGCTCATCTATCAAGATTTTTATGTTTTCCATCTAGAATAGTACTGTTCCTTGTAATGTCAACTATTTTTTTTCCTCTTTATACTGAGTGATCGATTGGTCCGTCTTCTAATCTTTTATCTATTCCATTCTAATTCTTACTGTGAATGACATATCACTCAGGGTGTCGAAAAGTTAAAACTTCCTAAATAAAAAAAAATAACTTAGTAAGGCATATGCATAAAATTTGTAAAAAGAAGAGCTTAGAATACATTTCCAATAATTTTGCATAATTTGCTACTTCTGTCAATTAGTGGCATAACACAACCATCGTCCAGTGCCATTGGCGAACACTTATCTTCACACTTAACTTCGTTAACGCCACAGCTTACTGCTTCCTATTAAAAACTTGGGAAGAAACTATAAACCGCTGGATTCTGATCAAGTAGCTGAGTTATAGCACATTCACCACGAGACCTTAGAGTACCGGGTTCGACTTGTTACAAAGTACACACTGATGACGAGTCCCACAAGAAGAAGAAACAGCTTTCCAACCTCATAGGTCCTCAGTGGTTGTCAGTCATTGACATCAAGAAAAATCACACTAACAAATATTAAGACATGAGAGTTTAGAACATGCCTTCACGCTTTCATGCGGTTAGAAGCAATTTAAAAGGAAACTTGCCTGGCTCGGGTTCTACTGGCATGAGTTTTGAATCTGGAGGCTTGAAGGAAATGATGGCCTCTCAAACAGCGAAACTCATGAAACCCAACCCTGTATGGGATGTGATTAGCCTTACGTAATATTAAGTGGTATTCACTGACTAGTCTCTAAAGAGTGATCAATTCCATGTTGTTTAGCTCTGAAAACTGGCCACACTTCACTGATCATTTTTCACTGTGAAGCTCAACCTAGGACCTCATCCTCTTGGTGCTTGTGGGAGTTAGTTCGTCCGGATGCATTTTTGACTTAAATAGGTCGGTGGTACTGTATCTGACTTCAACAGTGACTGACGTCTCCTGGAAGACTGTCATCAACCAGTTAGCATCAAATCAAATAAAGTGGATCAAGATGTCGTAACTCGAAGCTTGATCATGGCACTACAAAACGATAAAAATGTTCGGTCAAGCTTTAATACTAGATGGTGTGAAATCGGTTACTAACTAGTGTTTATTTTCTGACCCAATATATTTGCAGTACACTGAAATGAATCCAATTTTGTGGCTCACGAAGACTAATAAAAGTAGTTTTTTAAAGTCTTGTTTGTCTTATTCACGTTGATTTTGAAAATGTGATGATGCTGTACATCGCTTGAGTGCAATACATTCAACCCCACACTTTCTAAACTGTGATATACTTGCACTATGTCAAGAAGTTCAGAAAGACCACTGTAGTTTGAAATCCCAAAAACAATTTTTGCTTTCCTGATGTTCTTCACTCAGGAGGAACATATGGGTCGAAAAATAAGAATTTATTTCAGAAACATAGGTGGGCAAGGCGATAAATACATTTTCTTAGCTTCGTGCCAATTTAGTACAGAAGAAATTTAGTAAAAACTGTAGATCATACAAAAAGACCAATAAATTTATAAAATACAACTGAGGAGGAACCGACAACTTTCTACAACATACTTATCAAAAGTGGCTACCATGATAAATTCACTAGAAAACATTTGATTTCAAAAATGGCAAGAAATAATATTTTCAAGGCTAGCAGATAACTACTTGCCTTTCGAGTACAATTTACAGGTGATATGCTCAACAAGGTATTAGTTCACAAACTATGCATATCAATTCAGAAAACTTTCAATGCTGGTAAATAACATATTACGTTCTCCACATTCCTAATGGTGACAACAAGACTGGTCACTTCTTGTTATGTTTATCAGTCCAACTTCTACTGTGGAGTCAGTAACGTGGGCTACTGCTTTAGAAATTTAGTTTTCCGTCCATACGAACATCCCTCAGCATGTTTAGGTAAACGAATGGCAAAGACCAGAACCAGAAACATATTAGCACACTAGGATGGAACGAACTATCATGTGTATGAGTAATTTTTTATTCTCTACCGAGTTCTCATCAACTTGCTAAAAGACAACCAACTTCAATTCCTTGAAACAGTAGAACCAGTATCACTCAGGATCAAACAACCTGATTTTATGTGTTCAAAAAGCAAGTATTGCTGCTGCAACTATCGTAGTTCGATTCGGGACATAGAAACTTAATTACACCCTACTCCAAGCAATCTGAATTTCTATTTCCATTAGGTAGATACCCGTTCATCTCTATAATCTGAGATAATATAAATAAATTATCTCGACTTATTTTGTCCTACAAATTGAGTAACATTCTTTCCAGCTGTTATTCCTGAATTTATCTCTCTGGATTTACTTCCTCAACTGTATAATATTTTAGGGATTATTGATCCTATTTAGGTTTTTTACTCAATATTAGGCTAGATTCCTATGTTCGGCTGTTCTGACTGACCCCGACTGACTAGTTTGATCTATATACTTGACCTTACAGTCACTAAATGGAATTTGATAGATTACATTATTTTGCTGAATAGGTTCCATTGGGTCCTTAAGCCAGCAAAGTTTATCTGAGTTTTCAGGGTTTAAATGTCACCCTAATTCCAGCCCTGTTGAGTATTCTACGTACAGCTTCTGAGTACCCTCCTTATAAGGTAATACGATGGAGGTTGTGAACTCCTTTTTACTCCTGTTGTCATTGTTAGTCGCATTCATGTGACTGTTATTTTTTCTTTTTTTGTGTGTCCATAAGAATTACTTAATAAACTGCAGAGGATAATATTAACTATTAGCGCTTCGTTTACGTGTTTCAGTTCCTTGTTTAGGTTCTTGCTATGACTAGTCAGCTTTTTAGCTCTATCATTTAGACATCGAATCAACATGCAGCACATGTATTAGAAATGACACAACACCTTTACCAGAGATATGGAAAATTTTACTACCAATAAAAACATAGAATATGGATGAAATAGCTATAAAAATCGAATGTCGAAAGTATTGTGATTACATTGATATGGTTATGAGCAACGATTATTTATGCTCAATATGTCATCAAGTAAATAATACTGCGTCACTGTGTTTTATAAATCAAGTAAATAAATCTAACATAATATGGAAAATCTCAATATTGTTTACGCGAAATTCTTTACTTTGTACACAAAACTTTAGGATATGAAGAGGCAGAATTCATCGAAAAGAATATTCTTTGTTCACTCAAATAGCTTACCAATTATAATGGGAATTTTTCAATAAATTAACAATAACTGAGATAAAATAAAAATAATACTTAAAGTCATCAAAATGAAATTTCATATTTTATACAAAACATGAAAATAAAATCGATACCCATTCACTTACTAGATATGGACCTTTTGCAATTCGACACCTCAAATGTATCGTATCCCCAGTATAATATCTGATGAATTTAACACCTGAATTTGTATTAACATATGCTCACTTGTGTATTTCAAATTGTTATTTACCCTGTGTTGTACACTGTTCATAGTGTTATCGATTTCTCTGAATGTTTTGTTATTTTGAGCAGATAGATAAATATTATTATCACTCAACTGAAGACTAGTTTTGTTAGACAAATTCACTGTCGTATTATATATAACAGTTCTGTTGATCAGCTGTACATGATGATTAGAAACATTAGGATCTATGTAAAATAAAAAATAAATAAACGAGAAAAGTGCTGGTAAAAAAGACCAAACTAGACATTATTTAAACGCATATTTTCAGGCGACATGGTGATTAACCAATGTAATTTGCTTTGGTGAACAAGAACAATAATAAATAATTTCTGTCGTAGACTTAAAATGAAATGACCTCAAGTATTGGACGAAAAAATCGATATGAAGGCTGAGAGGGAGATTTCGGATTATTTAACTTTGAACCAATAAAAATGATGATAAACAGTACTGTAGGTGAACTGTGCAAGCGCTTACTTCTTACACTCAGTTATCTTATAGTCAAACCCATTTTATAGAGATTAATAGAATTAATTGACTTCATTATATCCTAGAATGTAATAACTGATGTCAATTTTTCACCAATTAGGCTGGGTGAAAAGGCAGAAATCACAAACATTTGATAGTTCTAAGGGGTATAAACACTAAGATTTTTCATTCTTAGTGGTTGGGTGAGTACTTCAGAAGAAGTACAAGTATTATCTGCATAATGAGAAGACGAAGATTATCTGAAACATGTGATATATTAGCGCTATACATTTCGAACAATCTGATCACACATGGACTTGTCGAACTATTTATATGAAAATTTACGAAAAGGTCAATGAAGTTAATGGGAAACATAGGAATAGGAAGGGAAAGAAAAGGAAAACCTTATTCTTGGTATGAAAATTAAAATCACTACAACCAAGGTAGGTTCAACGTGAGTACAAACTGTTTTTGTATACATAAAGGGGTTTAAATTACGGATGGCAAGAGCTTCAATAAATTTAAGCACTCGGCTGTGACCACTTTTATGTAGTGCTTTAAAGGCTGTTTTCATGTCTATCCTATGGTTAGTTTCTAGTATATGTTTAGCGATATCTATCCCTTCCTATTCCTATGTTTCCCATTAACTTCATTGACCTTTTCGTAAATTTTCATATAAATAGTTCGACAAGTCCATGTGTGATCAGATTGTTCGAAATGTATAGCGCTAATATATCACATGTTTCAGATAATCTTCATCTTCTCATTACGCTGTTTAAATTTATCAAAGGGACCAGTTGCTTTAAACAAGTATTATCATCGAAAATACTTGTATTAAACAAGCCATATTCTGGAACAACCTAAATTTATTGTCCCTCAGCATTAATCATATGCACATTTATTACAAGACAATTCAGTTGGACAATCATGAGCTTTTGCCGCCCAGTAATCAGATCTTGTTGTAAAATTAGTGAGAATCCTGTCACGGGTTTATCACATTTCGAAGGACAGACGGTGGTATGGATACTACCATACACAGAAGACCAACACATTCTAACAGGTATCTAGACTTCAGGTCACCTCATTCAGTGTCAGTTAAGGTGGGTTTAATCAAAAGCCTAAATGATAAAGCTACAAAAACTCATCAGTCATTGTAAAGATTTAAACAAGGAATTGAAACACATAACAGAAGCGTTAGTAGTTAATAACTATCCTCCACAGTTCATTAAGAAATTCGTACCAACACATTAGAAACGAAATAATAATAATGAAAGAAACGCGACTAGAAGTAAGCTCAAGGCCTCTGTTGTATTACTCAACAAAGAAGAAAAATCAGAATCTTTATGTAGGACTCTCAACAAAACTGGAATTAGGCTGTTATTTAAACCTACAAACTCTCTCAGAAAAAAGCTTTGTCACCTAGCCTAATGATCCGATAGAACCAATTAAGCGAAATAATCTGACCTACCAAATTCCATGCAATAACTGAGAGTCCAAGTACTTAGGTGAAACTACCCGGTTGGTGTCAGTAAGATTATCGCAACATAGGAATCTAGCTAAATATAGAATGACAAACCTGAACAAGATCAATGATCTGGAAAAGAACTTGACTATTTCAATGTTTGCACTAACCGGCAACCACACATTAGCCTGAGTGGCATAAAACCACTGTACTTCAGTCCAATATAATTAGGTAGAGAGATTGATTGCTGAATCTTTGTTCATTGAATCTACACGCAACACATGCATTAGAAATGACACATGACCTATACCAGAGATATGGAAAATTTTACTACCAATATAAACAAGGGATATGAGATGACAGGACTATAAAAATCAAATGTTGAAAGTAGTGTGATTACATTGATATGATAAAATTTATGACGTCATCAAGTAAATAATATGGCATCACTGTGTGCTGATATCAAATAAACACATATATAAAACACAATCTTCGAAATTATTCCGCGACTATTTCTCTACAAACCAGACATACTGTTGAACTCAAAATATACTGTTTAAAACGTATTCTTCAAACATCTAATGACATCTTTTCCTTTTGTAAACATAATTTAGGTTATTTGAGACAAGTAACAGATGATACAAGAAATAACTCCTATACTCCACCTATTCATGTGACTCAGACTGTTGCTGTTTTTAGATATTATTTGTTGAGCCGACTCTGCATTCACATCCACACCAATATTTATGCATGAAGTCCTTCAGTCTAATTCTCCTCCTTTCTACTTATTTTCTTCTCTTTAGCATGACGATATGAACCAGAGTAAAGCTTTAATCACAATAAATTAACACAATAGAATTTATTACCTACTGATATTTGTAATTTCCCGTTGATATTTTGAGTCGGTTTGCTCAACCTCTGTTGTTAGATGGGATTTTATCCCTACGCCTCGATACTTCCCAGTTACTCATTGTGTTTAAGTTTACTTGGCGGTTAGCAGTGGACTCACGTTTCTTCCGAGTTGGGACTCGTCCGTTAGATGTACCTTCACCTCAGTCAGTAATTGTGCTCCCATCGAGACTAAAATCCAGTACAGAGCTTCAAACACCAAAGCGGTTACTCACTGGGGTGTAGGAGTAGCAAAAGTGACTCAGACGCAGACTAACTATGAGTCTTAGCAAAGTTTGTCAGCAGTGATGAGTATCGAAAGCGAGAAGGATGGAGATGGCATCAGCATTAGGTAATATTTAACAATCAGCAGGCATACTAAGGATACTAGCAGACTAGAAGACGATAGTCAGTAAAACCATCATTGAAAAGGATAGGACCATGATAACGTCTTTAGACAGATGGCTAGAACGTTAAGTACAACACCCTGAAGCATAGTTTAGCCAGCCCTCAGCAACGTCTCAGTTGCCTAGTATACAATCCTAACCTAAATAGGTGTGGATATCGCCGCTCTCTAAATCTCCTTAAAGTTGAGAAGGCTCCATCGAACCTGAAATGATCCAAAACAGCGAGATCTGATGGTTTACCATAAGAAGGTTTTAAGGATGGAGGTAAGGAATTATCCAGAAGAATAACGTAGTTGCTGGGTAGCGTATAGAAACCAAAGGCAGACCCGTTAGACTGACCTAATTCGCCGATCGTTACAGTCCATATGAAAGAGAAGGAAGTATTCTTGTAACAGTCTTAAGGGAATTAAATTGACTAATAAAGTGTCCAAGGTCACAGAGTCCATAGTTATCCGAGACCTGACCGTAGCTCCAGAACAACATACTTGAGAAAACCAGGCAGGTTTCAGACCTGAACGAGGGTGTATCATTCAGATTCTCACCCTCCAACAAGTCCTGGAACACAGGTATACCTCCTGCCGGCTGACAATTGCCATAATTCTCGGCATGAAGAGGGCATTTGGTTCTGCCGACCGGGAGTTGTTGTGTCAGTGTCTAACTGTGAAGGTAGTACCGAGCAAGTATAAAATATTTATCAAAGCTTTCTAGGCGAACTCACACAACCGTGTATCAGCTTATGGAATTTTTATCTGAAATGACGGCAAATAGTGGTGTCCACTAGGACTGTCTGTTGACACCGTCCCTATTCAGTTTCATTATGGATGTACTAATGGATGTAACCCTACGTACATCTGACTTTACAAATGCTGAGCTACCCCAGGACAGCATATGGCTGACTTGAATTAAGCAGACGATGTTGTTTTACTAAGTAGTGACTGAAACAAATGCAGTCTTCTGAAAGCGTTGGGAAGAAATCTGAGTGTTTTGCATGCATTTCACACCTTTTAAATGCAAGATATTGCTTCAGAATTAGTCTACATAGACTCACAGTTACATGATAGGTGATCAAGTGACTGAATACACTGACCGATTCACCTGCTTGGGAAGTCACATCATCCCGAACAGGCTAACTCCTGACAAAACCTCAGCTCAGATACGGACGGCTTGTCCCGTACTTGATAAGTTGCGTTATCTTTGGCCCCGGCGAGATGTCCGACTACCAATCAGACGAGGAGTACAGTGCACTGCAATTCGCTCATCGAATTATATGACTGTGAGACATGATCTTCAAAAGTAGAAGGCATGTAGTGGTTACAGGATTAAATCACAGATGCCTTCATTGCATCGATCGCGCTTGGTGGTATCTCCGTTTGAGCAATTCCGAGGTTAGGCTAGAGGCACCAGGCAAAGAAGGCAGGTTAGACGATAAAGTCGTGAACTTATATTAACTAAGGTGACGGTACGGCTGAAACTCGTTGACAGTGGCACAGATTTATTCACTGCTTGGTGTCTTCTAAAGCTTAAATATTTCTACTAACCTTCCTGTCCACCTTTTACTACCTCGATATCTGTCTTTCTTCTGTTCATTTGTTGCTTACACACTGCTGCAAAATGTGGTAACTTGTACCAATGCACTTGTTTACGATGTTGATTCTGTCTCTTTCTGCCTACTTCTTTGCATACTGTAATCGTATAGTCTATAGACTCTACTACTTGCACTCATAAAACGTTGGAAGGATAGCTCTATTCTGCTTCATCTTAAACGTGCTGTTTATGATACAAACTAGACTTCTGGATATGTCAGTCAATTGAATATCAGTTCAGAAACCCTGACCAATAATGCCTAAACCCCAAAGATAGCATGTCAGTGGTGAAAGAGATTGATCTTAGTTACCCAGGTCAAAATTTTCAAATAAGCTATTACACTTTTAGAAAGTAAAACCAGAGTAATTTCCTAAATCTT